TACATAGTAGAACTTTAAATTAAACGTTTCACTTAAACGAGTGTTGGCCCTGATGTAATACTTCCTACTTAAGAACAAAAAGCTTTCCAGATTTATTAAAATATAGAACAGACTACATCCTCCCTATTTGTTGGTAATGAGCGGTTCCAAATCCTTCTATTATTTGCTTCGCTACTTATATTATAAAGAATAGCAAGTTTTAAGTAGCAGACATTGTGTACTGCCCAAAAAAAGTCGGCCGTGGTACTTACTTATAGTTGTTGCGGCTGCGATCATGACTGATCTAGCCGGCCTCGATTATGTCCCGTACGGTGCTTCCCCACGCACGACGGTCCGTGGCAGCAGACCTGGACATTTCAAGCCATTCTCTTCGCCAGCGCCGGAGACCGAATACCGAAGGTTTAGGAACCACTTCTATATCCTGACGGACTGAGTTGAGCCAGGTTTTGAGCTGACCCCCACTTCGACGTTTCCAATTAGGTAACGGTTTCGATTCGAGAACAGTAACACTGAGCTCGTGTGGTTGACGGCGAAGAACGTGTCCAAACCACCTCAGTCGTCTTTCCGGGATTACCTGGGATATCTTTGCGATGTTGTCGCAGCGAGTGCGAATTGTCTCATTTGAGACGAAGTCGGCGTACTTCCCTCGAAGAATGGTCCTTAAGCAGCAGCGGTCGCGCGTCGACCCGGCTCACTGACTAATTCTTGAGGATATGTAAAAAAGGGTGGAATTCGCATCCTCGATTTTCTCAATTGTGCAGACCTTATAGGATTTAAGTGGATTCTGGTGTTTGCTTTTCGTCCCCTATAAGAATCTGCCTGTATAGGCTTCTTTTAGATTTAACGGCCTTTTGCTCGATACAAAGTTACTCCTTGGTAAATCCACTTCCTTTTTTGCTAGGAAAATAAATAATTTTTCCGTCGTTCATCCCTTCGCCTTAGGTAATCTTGACTTACCTCACACGAGTCGAAGTTCACGGCTTGCCGATATAATTTTCTTGGTGCAAACACTTATGTTCAGAGCGCCCGGTCAAACTCGCCTTTGTAAAACCGTATGGTGTCCATTATCCAGGCGATAGCATGTTTTTTTAACGTAAAATATTGTTCAGTGTTTCGTCTGCGACTCAAAAGACACGCAGTTTACTTTGTCTGAGTGTTTTTCTCAGTGTATGTAGCGGTCTTTTGAGCCTCCACCGACTTCTTGGTGAGTTACCTGTGAGTATTAGGCAACAGAGTCACTTCTGCTTTACCCCGGTTTCATGTTAGTCGACCAATTGAGAACCATAGCTAACTTCTATCTCAGACTAAAATGGCATATTTCTAACTCTTCCAGCTACTTTTGCTTCTTATTGGGTGAGAGTATTAGCTGGCCATTGCTGTTATTTACTTTGAGCCCGTTGGGAAGTATAGTCAACTACTTGTTTTATTTCCAGCCAACGAAACCTAATTGTTAATGTAGCCCTGGCATCACATTTTAGTTTTTTTCCGAGCCACGTATCTTCATTGATACAGGCGTTACTGTCGTGAGCATGTGTAACTTTCGTTTTTTTAAGTAATTGTTTCGTTTGTCTGTATCAGCATGACCGTCAAGGAATTAGCCGGACACCACGAGAAGGGTCGTCAAGTTGTTAGTGGTTGTCTTACGGTTCAAATGTAACATACGCGACTGCACCAGCACCTCCGTCTGTCTGAGGTCGTCATATTCTCTAACAGCATTCCTTGCTCTACCTCTTGTAGTGTTGTCGAGAATTCATTGCAAGCAACATCCCCTCCATCGACTGCGCCATCTGTTTCGATGCGTTTCAGCGCGAAGAAGACGTCTACCGTTCGCGGTGTGATCATTTCTTCCACAAGGAATGCATTTTTACCTACCATATGAACTTGACTGAGGAATATTCTCGCGATTTGGCGGAAATTTTGTCCAAAAATCCCCACTGTCCGCTGGATTTCCGACCAAAATTGAAAGTATGCGGTTGTTATTCTCCACCTAGTTTGGCTTCATTATTTTTTCAAGTAAATTTATTTTATTGATTCTGTGGCCGTCAAGGAACATATTCGTTTGTGAGGATTAGGCGACACTCACCGGTCAAGTAACGGGACATGCTCACCCCGTTGTGCCCTGGAGCTCAATCTAGAGTTCTCTACGGCAGTCGCCTAGTGACTAGTAATATGCGGATATGCTGAAATACTAAAAAAGACAAGGGAGAGCGAAATGGCTATTTCTGGCTTATTAGCCAATCATAGCCAATCCCAGGTGTGAACCATCTGGGATTTGGACCCGGGATCTTTGGTCATTGAGTCGAACACTCTACCAATGAGCCACGGGCTCGTTGTCCTGTTACTGGTTGAGGGTTTGGTTCAACGACCAAAGTTCCGGGTCCAAGTCCCAGATGGTTCACACCTGGGATTGGCTATGGCGGGCTAATAAGCCAGAGATAGCCATTTCGATCTCCCTTGCCTTTGTCGGTACTCTATAATAAACCTTCGTTTGTTTCTGATGATACCATCGTTCGTCTTCGTAAATTAGTTAATCAGCACGTTGCCGCTGATGTTCACGCATAGTGGTCCAGGCGGTTTATCATTTGCAGCTGTCATTTCAATCTACGCTTCTCTAGGGAGACTTACTATCTGCAAGTATACTGGGCCTCTGTGCGCTACCGAGTTGAACAGTTATTTCCTATAGTAGTCAATAAAATTGCAGTATTGCCATCATGACTGACTAACAGCTCTGTGGTTACTTGTCAGTCCTACAGGGAGATTAACAGACCTAGTGAGGAACATGATCTACTTTAATGGGACTTGACGAAAACTATTCTCGTGCGACTGAATCCATAAAGAAGACCCTCGATGTCTGGCGATGAAGGGCACTTCTTGACCTGAAAGGAGGGGAATGCATGCGGCGTACTTTAGGGAATGAGAATTGGAAGCGTTTATAGATTAGGAGATTTATCCTGAAAAGTGAACTCCCGGTCCGTCGATCGGTAGGATTCTATGGCCTTCAGGTCACTTTTTCGAGCACATTTGAGCCGGCTATGCGTTGTGGCTAGCATCACTCCTGCATATCCCGAGGCACACTTTTTAAAGTGTCTAATGACGCCAAACTTCTTAAATTCTAATATTCACCCGATAAACTTTGTCCTATGTCCTGAAGCGGGCCATTTTTCCTTTCGTTATGCGACTTAACCTTTTTTATGCACATCCATTTGTTTTCGTGTGAGACTGCTTTGCAGAGTCAGTTATTTTGTTCTTTTTGCGCTTTTTTACACTTAATATCCACCTAGAGCTCTAGAGCTATTAACAATATTTAACAAATATTAACAATTGAGAAGAAGACAACTCGATCGCTGGGACAATACTTTTATTCGATTTGATGTACTTCAATTATGCCGCAATCACAGCCACAGGGTATTAAAAAAGACGAAAAAGACTAAAATGTCAATTTCGAGATATGTTTGCCGTCACTAAATAGTTATACCTACAGGTTGGGAAGTTCGACATTAGAGGACAAAATGGACTCTAGCGTTGCGTCCTGCAGCCAGGCTCTGTCAATCTCAGAGGGGTGTGACAATACATATGATTTTTTGATACTAACATTTTTCGTTTGCTTCTACCGCCTTTATGCTTCCCAATCGGCAGATGGTTCTGTTCTTATAAAAATGTCCTAGCTTGCGTTCGAGAATCGAATTAATACTAAGAACTTTTTACAAGCAACTTGTTCTTTTACCGATCGTAAAATACTAGCAGATTTTTCCATACTTTTAAGATATTGGAGACTTTTTTCTCAGAATAATCTTTAATCCAACAGCTTTTTAGCCTTTTGAATTTCTCTGTTTTCAGTTCCCCTGTCCGCTGTGCAAAACAAACCTGCCACAGGTCGTCCGTATTTAGCTCTGCGGTGGATCCTTCATTCACTTTTCTCAGGATACTTTACCTGATCCCTTTCAATCTCCTCTTCCCCCCTCCCCCCGGCCTCCTACACTCGCTCCAGTATCTTCCATCGCCTACTTTCTGCCTAGTCCTCTAATCCCCACCAAAAAACAGTTCCTTGTCATTTTGACAGACTTGCGCGTGCTGTTATGAGATGGACTATGACGAACTGACTTAATTAAAAAGAGTTTACTATTCCTTACCAGGGTATTTTCGTGCGTCTATTTGAAGTAATGTCTGCCGACAGTTAATCTGTCGCTTCCGGGAAGAAATATGACTATTTATAAAAGTTGCCTGCACGTGAAGATGAGTATGCTGAGTCAAGGATCTCCTTTGCTTTGAAGACCCGGTCAAGAGTAGGAGAAAATAACCAATGTTTATTTGAAGAGGTGGATTTATCAAGTAGTCATCGGATACTGATGTCAGGCGTGACCTCTTTATGCATTTGGTTAAAACTGAGTGGGATTTTGATTATGCCTTAAAAAATCGTTAAATTCGGTTTGATTTGGGTTGGTACTGGCCAAAGCAAGTCGCCGCTCGGGGAACAGACAGGCCACCACATCCTACACTAACACCGCAGGGCCAGATAGTCACTGCTGACGCAAAGAATCAGCGCACGCTCAAGGCATTTATGGATTTTTTCTGTTCGTTAAAATTTTACTGCAAAACCCTGTGCACACACAAACTGTTCCTGCTACTGTTCTGTGAGTATGTCTCTGATGATGAGTCCGCGACGGATTTCTAAACGTCGGAGGAATAACCATATTGTCCCAGCGATCGAGTCGTCTTCTACTTCTCAATAACTTCCTGGGACTCGCATG